CATCATTGCCACACCATTACAGGAAACTACATTAGATGGACACTGTCAGAGGCTGCAACCCTATCCGAGGAAGTGGACATCACTGAAAGTAAAGAAACAAGTAAACAAGCATTTGTGGAAGTTTGCTGGGGGTCTAACAGAAAAATGTAAGTGCACATGCACTTATAATTAAATGCTGCAATATGTATATTTATACATATTCGTTTATTGGTTCTCTTCATTAAATAAACCTATTGCCACTAACACATAATATACAGTATGTGTATATACTATATATACTGTATATATATATATATATACACACTGTACATGAGTCTATATATATACTGTACAGGAATCTTCACTTTTAATTTATTGAGTGAAGATTCTCAACTCTGTTAGAAAATCAGCCTGATAGCTCTGTTTACTGGTATCTGTGTGTTTTTCTTGCTGTTGTCACAAACCACTGCAATTATTCACAGGTAGTGTGTAGCTAGCTATAAATGCAGGCATTCCTAAATTTGCTATTCTAGGCAGTGATGAGCTATTATACTGCCCCATATCATAATCTATTATACAGCTGTGTTGCATTTCCTTTTTAAAGATTAATTACTAAGACAATGTAATAAAGCGTATGATCAAATAAAACCAGCTTATGATCTCTGAAGCTTACACTCAGTATCATAAAAACAAGACACGCCAATGCTTAGTTTTCTGATTTCAGCCAAAAAGGGGATTGTGGCTTTAAGCATTTGTTACAGTTTTATTGTATTTTTTCCTTTTATTATTATTATATAAGACAAAAGGCACACAGCAGCTTTAGAGTCTCTCCGATTGGGGGCCGAGACAGAGGAGAGAAGAGCATGATTGATAGAGTTGTGGTTGGCTTGTAAAGGGCAGCCGGGAGTGCAAAGAAATAATCAGGAGAAAGGGCGTCCTATGCAGGCTTTCTCAGAGGGGAAAAATGAATCCAGCACCTCTGCATTATTAAGTTGTCAGACAGGTCTGATGATGAAAATCTGAAGGTCAGGCATAACAAGAGCCACCTTATGGGCAGGTCGTAACCTTTCTGGAAGTGCTACACTCATGTTTATCTGCACCTAGCCCTTATCAACAATTTTTTATTTGATAAGAAGATTGGGGAGCAGGGAAGAGTATGTATCTGCTTTGTATACATGCAATACCTATAATATGCAGAAATGGAAAAAGAACAGATTTGTGCAATACCATTTAACAGAGCAGAGTCATAAGCCAATAGGAAATGTCAAAGTCCCCTGGGAAAAAGTTCTTACTGAAGGAACTCCAGATAGAAGCCTTTATAATTTATATATGAGCAACCACATATGATGGTTGTTGTGTGACATTTTATTTGTTTCTATAATGAGTGGTGCTATGGGACATGTGTAAGTATCTGGATCACAGATGCTACTTCCTAGTTTCTGAGCTTAGTATGGGATGCAAAGATAATGTACATGCTTCAAAGCAGAACTGCAAGCTAACAGCAAAAATAAATGAAGGAAGGTGACACAATTTCTAATAAAAATGTCATAAAATTGATAAAAAATATATATAAAATACTCTTTTTTGTGCCCCATCTGATCCTTTGTGGCTTCCACTAATTTAAAATTGCTGGCTTTGGGATGGATTTAGTGGATGGTTTAGATTATTGCAATTGTAAATGTTTAAATTTCCAGCAGTTTTTACAGCCTTGAGTTCCACCTCACTTGCAGCGGCAACTCTTTTCATTCACAATTGGGAGATTGAATTGCATGCTGCAACAGATCCATTCTTGTAAATCCCTTTAATAAAAATAATACAGCTATATAATTTCATAATATGTACTAAGAAGTTCAACATTCTAGATCAGCCTTTCTCAACCAGGGTGCTGTGGCAAGCTGGTGTGCTTCCTGGCCTCCTAAGAGTTGACTACAAATTTTGTGAAAAAGGACTGTGATGTGAAGGGGTGATGAAGACTGATGTGAAGGGGCTCCCTGATGTAAAAGGGTAAATCTGATGTGAAAGTGGGGATTCTGATGTGAAAGGGGGGTTCCTGATGTGATACAAAGGGTGACTCTGAAATGAAGGGAGGAATCTTGATTTGAAGGGGGCACTTTGAAGAATAGCGAGAAACCCGCTTTTTGTATGATTTTGCATGAGATCCCTCTTACAATCTATGACATTTTATACTGGGGTGCCTCACGATTTTGATTACTTTTAAAGGGTGCCATGACTGAAAAAAGGTTGAGAAACACTGCTCTAAGTCAGTGCTCTACACTAAATAATTACTACTATATTATTTTAGTTATTGTAATTAATATATTATCAGTATTTGACTATATAAATGATTAAGCAAAAATATACTATACATTAATCAACTTAAATGTATAATTTCTCAGCCTAAAGTGGTACTCCAAGCAAAACTTACAAAGAACACACTTTTATTCAGTTATACGTTTTAGGAATCTGCTACATTATACATGGGAACCATGTTTTACCCTTTGCTTCTCAGATTTGCCTGATCATTTGAAGTGCCGCTGTTGAACAAATAAAATAATATTGCCAAATACAAAATGAGATGAGAGGACTTACCAGGATGGCTGTTAGTTGCCATGGCTGAGGCTCGCACCCAGTGTTGGACCCAGGGAAGCAACATTAGTTCTGGGGCAGAGCATCACAGTGATTTATACTGCAAAATTGTGTTCTGCCATGGAGATACACTTTTACTACACCCAGTAGTAATTATATGGCAGCTTCCAGACATGGATGGACAACTTTGGTTGTAACAGGGAAAATACCCCCTGACAGATTTCATTAATTTTTTTAAACATTGACCAATCGGCATTGACCAGTTAGCAATGTTCTGTAAACCTTATTGAAGAGTTGAACATTACATAAGGTTAGTAAACTGTTTTTTAACAAGAGTCATCTTATTTCACAATTTTTAATATTACATTGACAAATCATGAAATTACTGCACAGCTGTGTACAAGAAAATCAATAGGGGACACACATTACAATCTGCATAGAAACTATATATAATAATGAAGCACAGGAGGAGAACAATATTGCCAACCACTACGATGCTGGGGAACCTAAATAACACTAGGAATTGAGGAATAGTGTTAGATTAAGATAAGAGTAATAATCGCTTGATATTTGTTACTTTTACTCATAATTGAGATTTAATAATCTTTTTCATTTAAACCATTTAAAATTTGCTATATTCATTCAACATTTGTGTTTATATAAACAGGGTGCCTATCTTAGGCATAACTTATTCATTTCCAGCTACAACCTTCGTGATTCATCTGGTAACCTTACACTGAATAGAATCCTTTGGACACTAACTTGGAACAGCGGAAAGGTATGAAATATGGGAGCCACCAGATTAATATCTTTGTTATCATTCAAGACAGGCTCCAGTAGTCACAGTGAAATGACTCCGTAAACTGACATACTGAGTTTTAGCTATTTCCATGTACAGCACAGTGGGGGTCATTTAAAGATCGTAAGTCTTGGCTGCGAAATGGGGCTGAAAATATGCTGCCGTTGCTAACAGCGCAGTAAGCTGTGAAGTAGAGCTGCAGCTAACGATTATTTTCAAAATCGATTAGTTAGCCGATTATTACGTTCGATTAATCGACTAATCGGATAAACAATAAAAAAAAAATTTAAAAATGGCTCCAGTGATGGGACTACTAGTTTGTATTGAGATTGTAGTCCATCACAGGAGCAAGCTTGGAGCGGTGGAAAAAAATAGTGTGGTGTGCAATATAGTGAAAAGGAAAGTGTAAAATTATACAGCAATGAATGCAGAATTGCACCGGCTATAGAGGACTACAAATCCCAGCAATAGTACATTATACAGCGCAATGCAGAATATCACCAGCTATAGAGGACTACAACAAATCCCAGCAATAGTACACTATAGCTGGTGGTATTCTGCATTGCGCTGTATAATGTACTATTGCTGGGATTTGTAGTCCTCTATACAGTGCAGTGCAGAATATCACCAGCTATATAGGAATACAACAAATCCCAGCAATACATTATACATACAGTGTATAATGTATTGCTGGATGTGTATTCCTATGTATAATATACAGCACAATGTACCATCAGCTATAGAGGAATACAAATCCCAGCAATACATTATAGAGCACCATGTGTGGGAAAGTGCAGGCTTACCTGAGCAGTCTTCCAGCAACTTGCTTCTGAGATCGGACCTGTCTATCAGCGGCTGTCATCCCCCCACACCTGCTCCTCCTTACTACATCTCCCCGCGTCCCTGTGCCAATCGTGGATGTGGGCGGGCGGTGAGTGTGAGGCGGGGAGGAGGTGCGGCGTGGATGCGGGCGGGTGGGTCTGGCAGCGGCGAGCGTGAGGTGGGGAAGAGGTGCGGCGCGCAGCGTGTGTGGAGCCGTGAACAGGGCCAACTGATCGGAAGCCGATTAATCGATTATTGAAAAAGTTGACAACTTTTTCAATAATCGATTATAATCGATTATGTCGATTAGTTGTTGCAGCCCTACTGTGAAGGTTCCCCGATGTGATCTTTGCCTATCTGGGTTTATTAATCAGAATCCTGTTAGTTTGTTAGACTTACCCTTATGAGACTGTCTAAAATACTGCTCATTCTTAACAATATACACTTCACATCAAGAGGAAGAAGCCTTATCTTGGGAAAAGTGAATTTAGGCAACCACTGGTTACTAGTAATTTTAATACCCTATTATGAGAATTTTAATATATGATTATTGAAGCTATTGTGTTTAGAAGGACTTTACAATTTCTTTTATCAAGTTAAAGTGACACTAAACTCAGGAGTTAAACCTTAAAAATGCGTTCAAGTAGCTTACATATAAACAAAAATGAAGCTTATTTGTGTATTACTCAGCTGTATATCCCTCAAATCATCTCTGAATTGGTGCTGACCCTATTCTTCCTGCTGGAGGTGGCTACTTTTGTTCCCCATGGTCCCCGTGTGTGTTGTAAAGTAGCCACCACTCCAAGTTCACTACCGTGACGGACTACAACCTCAGTACACATTAGTAAAATAAACGTGAGATTGTAGTCTATCACAGGAGTGAGCTTGGAGCAGAACTATTAATAAAAATGTATGTTATTTGTCTGTCATTTGACTGTACTGGAGGGTGGCTACTTTTGTTCCTCATGGTCCCTGTGTGTGTTGTAAATTAGCCGCCACTTCACGCTTGCTCCCATGATGGACCACAATCTCATGTTTAGTTTACCAATTTGTATTCAGATTGTAGTCCATCATTTGAGTGAACTTGGAGTGGTGTCTACTTTACAACAAATACAGGGACATGGGGAACAAAAGTAGCCACCGCTCCAGAAGGAAGAACAGTGTCAGCACCAATTCAGAGATGATTGGAGGGTCTACAGCTGAGTGATACACAAAAAAGATACATTTCTGTTAATAGTTAAGATACTTAAATTAATTTTTAAGGTTAAACTCCTGAGTTTATTGTCACTTTAAGATACAAATTACACAGACACAAAATACCTTAGTTTGTTTGGTTGTGATAGTATAGAGTAGAGAGACACTGATTTGGAAGACAAATTAATAGTAAGAAGACATTCATTTGTGATCTGTAATATGTTCCACTAACACCACTTAATTGTGACAATTACTTATGGCAACAATCCTGTCATGTGATCAGTTACATAAATACTCATCTTCACAAAAAAGATAATGTGTGCTCTCCCATAATCCTGTGTTTTAATCTTCAGAACAGATCCATTATCTTATGCAAGGGGATAGATTATCAGGATAAAGATTTATGACTAGTGGTTAATAAGTGGTTACAGTGTTTGAACTTTAGTGATCTTTATACAAAAGTATAAGATCCCCTTATCAGAGAACCTATGTACCTAGAAAAATGTAAACCCCATTTAGAACAAAAAAATTTGCTTTTCAGAAATAAATAACTTAGCCAGAGCTCCTTCTGATGTCATGACAGAAAGGACTACTATTTTAATGGGTATTGAGAGACACACAGATTTGTTACATTTTATTGCACCAAATTCTAATCTACGTGGGAACATACTAAGTTCCTGCACTGTCAGCCTTATTTTGTCATACTACCTTTTAAGCAGATGAAACACATTGGTAATGTATCACACACTGCTGTTAGACGTGATTGAGAAAACCATTAGATAAAATATGTCAATGCAGGTACTCCAGAGAACAAGGCTACAAAAAATTGTACATAGCAAACCTCAGAGAGGGAGACCAGAGGTTGCCTGTAGGTGTACACTGAAACTGACACTGAGCTACCCATTGAGAATCAATTGAACACAAGCAGTGCAAGGAAAGTCAAAGTTTTCCCACACCCTTAATGGTTAATTTCCAAAAGAAAATCTTATTAATGTTGTAACTTTAGTAGTTACTATAGCAAAAGTATGGGTAGCAAAGATACACATAAACCTCCTAACCTCATGAAATCTCCATACCTTTATTAGTACTGACCAGCAAACAGACTGGTGTCAATATAATATGGAGCCTCCAAGTTTTCTAGCTATTGTGGTGTGGGGTGATTCGATTCTTTGTCCAACACAAATCAAGTTGATTCCCAAAGTGCATTTCTACCTTGCAGTCAAATTTGAGATTGAGGTGTTGAAGAGCAGTTTAGTTTGGCACCATTTGGAAGATTTGCACAGAAAGCACTTTATTGACATAGGTATACAGTTCCCCTTTTCCCATTGTGGACTTTCCTCTTTAATTTATTTTGACTCATCATGTTGACACAGTACTATTTTTGAGTATTTTTACTATTGATAACACTTGTATTACCATTTTCTTTAGTTATTTAGCACTGTATATAGTTTGTGTTATATACTCCATTCATTGTCACATTGTAGATATATTACAGGATTACTGGCATGCAGTGTCTGTAGATAGCTTGTGTGCAATTATTTGCTGTTCATTTTATCTATCTATCTATCTATCTATCTATCTATCTATCTATCTATCTATCTATCTATCTATCTATCTATCTATCTATCTATCTAGCTATCTATCTAGCTATCTATCGGACATGTCTATATTTTCTATATTATATTTCTAAAATACTTTTTGTAATATTCAAATAATTCACATCTTTATTTTCATGCTAAATGATCCACATTTTTTTCTTTCCTTGTCAATAAAACTAACTTGGCTATTATAATTTTTGTACACTCTTCACTGTAAATATATAGAATGCTTTCTTTAGAAATAAACACACACAAGAGAAAAGTCCCTGAGATATTTCCAGAAAGAATACATCAAGGCAAGTTGCTCTCATGGCATTTAAAAACGGCTTCTCTTTATTTTTCCCATTACACATGAAACATATTTTTACCTTCTTTTTAACTGTTGTTTGGCTGGCATAATCAATAGACTATAATATAATAGACTTTTTTAAATCCAGTAGTCCTTTGGCTGGGCTATTCTTCTTTCCCAGCTATTGCAGTGGGCAGTCTTTACTGCTAAAGGGCAAGTAATGATGTATGAGTACTGTTCGGTACTGTGAGCCCTGGCCAATGTGATGGCACACCTTACAGGAAGAGGTTGAATTATGCTGGCTGTTATTCAACCCAGATGTAGGAAGCAATAGGCATTGGAGGATGAAACAGAAGGCACCACTGGAGGGGTGGAAGATTTTAAAAAAGGAAAAACATGAGGTTCTTAAGTTGTGCTTTAAAATATGAATAGCACTGCTCATGTAGGTGACTATTCATAATGTTTCAATATCTTTGTTTTAGACCCTGTTGTTCTTAATTTCTACAGTCCTGCAGAAAACACCAATACTATAAAAATTATAATAATTAAGTTTATTAAGGATGGTGCATTTAAACAGGAATTTAGAAACTAATCCTAAGTCCTGAAGTGAAAGATAACTGGCACCCCCACGATTCCCAATATTACCTTGGACCTATAGTCTAAAAGGTAAACAAACACAGTTCCATGGGTAGCCCCATGACAATGCCAGAAATGTGCAGATAAATATTTATTGGGATACTAATAGAAATCAGATCTTCAGCACTTTCTTTTCATACCCTGGCCAGGTATATAGCTGCTTTTCAAATGGATCTTTGCAGAATACTATTATCTGTCTTTCTACACCCTGGAAACAATCTTCAATAAAAATCTGCATTCCCTGATTCTTCTATTCTAGTTTTTCCTGAAATCTGCACTACAGTAGTACATGTTTAATTTAGAACAAGGGAAGCTTGCATAGTTAATAAAGTTCTTTAGATGTTTGGGACCAGACTTAGGGAGACATGATTTAGTGCCCACACAAGGACAGCAATTATAGCATTATAGGTTTTTAAAACTATGTTCACAGGGCTATGATGGGCAGAAAATAGTGACAACCACTTAAATGTCAAATTAAGCAGCTCACTGTATGATGACCTTGTACAGTAGTTTAACCCTCAAGCAGCATGTAGTGTGAAATAATGAATGCTGTCCATGTTACCTACAGCAGAGATCTTAATCATCAGTTGCTTTGCAACTGGGCATCTGGTTCCCACTTGGATATTTTCTATCACTACTTAGTGCCGCGTTGTCACCAACTGAGGGTAAATCTCCCCAACAATTCAACAAAGGTTCTAATCCTTCCCCACTCTGCTAAGATTTGTAAAAATTGTTTAGCGGGACACTTTAACTAAAGAATCACTGTACTTTGAGATGTTCTGTGTCTGGGCTCCCACTAGCATAGTTTCTTTTCTTTATTGGAAATTACATTTTTTTGTACAGGCCAGTAAATTTAAAACTAACATTTCATTTATTTACAGCCTCCGGTGGGTTGAATTACCTCTTCTTATACCTACTCTTTGGAAACCCCAGTGGCAAGATCTTCTCACCAGAGTGCATGGTTTTACCAACCTCTGTAGTCAATTGTAATTTCCTTCAGCTTTAGGCCAAAGTTGCTCTTTCCTCATTAGATACTACTACTTTTACTTTGATGACATCCACCCAATGCAGTTTCTTGTAGACCTAGCCTTTGAGCACACCCAGTGTTCCCCATGTTTCTAAAAAAAACAGATGAAATTATTTAATGTATCTCTTTGCATTAATACATTTTTGTTTTCTCTTGCTATGATTAATGGAGGCATTGTGAATATCTGACATCTAAATGATTGTTTTGATTCTTTATGCTGTGAACGTCATGAACAAGACAGAACTCAAAACAAGAGTGTGGGCAAATCATCATTACAACAAAAAAGAAATTCAATATGACAGAGGAATATATTCTAGAAAACACTTATGACATAACTTATTTTTGAATTAAGTGATTCAACTAGACAGCTTCGGATGAGAGGTCTACCCTGGAGAAAGCACAGGTGTGCAATATGCAGGATTTCATGTCCTACAAATATTTTCTTAGTATCCCAAGGGAGGAAGAGACCAGGCCACTAAGTGCATGACCTGGTGAGTTAGAAAGGTTAGCAACCATGATGTCAAAAATAACATCTGAACAGCAGTCAAAAGAGTATAATTTATGTGAGGTCCATGAAGAAAAAAAAAAATTGGCAGACTTTCATTTTTGGTAAACATTGCTTTTGTGTGAAACTAGAGTGGGTGAGTTTCCAGCTGCTAAATGGTTGTTTTTATAATATTCTTTTCATATCAGTGTTTCCTTAGATTAACCTTGAAATATTAAAGCTTTTTCTTTTTCTAAATACAGCTGTATAACAAAAGATAAAAAATGAATCTATCTGCAAAAGTGGGATGAGTGAATAAAGACCAGACTTCTTATGTTTTTGTAGTGTTTATGAGTGTATAGAACAGATTAACATACCCAGGTTTAGGCGCTGAGGTTACACTTTTAAAGGATTTTTTTCTTTATTCTCTTAATTATTAGAAAAAAATACATGAAAAAGTAATGTATGTTTATAATCAAAGTGTAAGAACTATGAAATCAAAAGTTCTGTTCACACTTGTTTTGTAAGCAGTCAGAGTCACACTATACTAGTGTTTTTTTAATGGGATTAGTGGAAAGGAAACACATTTATATAGTGACGAAAATATATAAAAAGCTTTACATAGTGCACATTCACAGCCGTCCCTGCACTGCTAGAGGTTCCG